TGAGGCGTAGGTGCACCGTGTGATCCTTTGGAATCTTGTTCAGAATTATCATTTTGTGACTCTCTGACGTTTTCTGACGATTGCCGTACACCGTCAACGCTACCTGCACCTGTGTTAATTGGTTTCGTTGTACCAGGGGTAAAGCTGACAGTCTTTTTTTCATCGGGATTCGATGGAAGTTGCTTTTCTATTATGAAAGAAGGATCGAGTTGACTTTTTTTAGGACTTTTGTAAGAATTATATGTCTTCAATTTGCGCATTTCAAACATGGACAATTTTGGGGAGATGAATAAATAATTCTAATATGTTAAACGACGTGCCTGTTTGTATTATTTCTGTATGAGTCGTAGCAACTAATGGCTCAACGACATTAGTTGGAGGCGCGGGTCGTGTTATTTTTTTTTCCACGATGATGTCGACAGCTACTCACGACATTCGTGATAAAGGCGAATATTAATGGTGAAAACAATTATCTCAAGGAGTCGGTGTTCAAATATACATACCTTCGCTTACAATTGAAGTCACCATATTCGCAACTTAAACTTGTGTGAATATGGCAATGCTTCTCTGGAGGTATGGTGTATCCCAGAGATATCAGGCAAGATTGCTGCGTATTCCATGGCAAAAGGAAATGACGGGAGAGAAATAAGTAAAGTTGAAAAACCCAAGTGTAAAAAGAAAAAGATTCAGTTGGCTGGGGTCTCAGACCGCCGGACCTTGCCCGAGCAAAAGGAGCTCCTACCTTTTTCACCTTTTTCAACGGGAATAGCGTCGTAACAATAATAATTTTATAGAGGAGAATAAGTTTGTGAAAGAAAGATAACGGAATATTTAGAGAAATTGTGCGTTCTTGAATAAGTTTGGTGCCTTGTGTCTCAGGAGAAATACTGTACAATAACGTGACATCTATAAATAACTTACATAATGTAATTCTTATTGGCTTCGCAATTGGACCATAATAATAATGATAAGTGTGCATCGTTAATAACCAAGTACATTAAATTCATTTGAATCACTTAATTTGGGCAAAGGTTACTATTTTCTACATGCACGTACTATTTCGGAATATATACTGGGCATTGTTCGACATACGCTCCGGGTCCTCAATCGGGTTGGTTTAAAGAGGCGCCAAAAGAGTTGAAGGTGGAGAAAACTTCATATTGGAATTCAAGGATGTCAGAGGAGACACCTTTTCAAAATAATTTCGACGACCTCTTGCACAAGCCAACGAGCAATACCATATCTGAAACGTTGAGCAACGTTGACGTTTCAAATCCATTTAAGGATGCCATCTCGCCTTTGTTCGCGCCGGTAAACCCATCGAGCGATCTGGAAGACAA